TCGAGAGGGCGGAGCATTGTTCCCACAGGACCGATCACCGATGGCCAATCGGATGGGGGTCGGGGGGTAGTAAAGGATGGGTTGGGTCTGTCGCGAATCTCGACTGGGGGGGTGTACTCATAGTCGTGCATGCCGTAGTCATTAGACCATTGACCTCGCATCCCTACGAAGCCGGGACGGAGCACGCCGGGTTTTCACCGGACCAGGCTCTCACATCGCCGAGCGCGAAGCGCCGTGAGGTATTCGGCAAGTCGCATGAAGGGTGGGCTGCATCCTGCTAAGGGTATTTGGCAGATTGTGCTTCCTCCCTTGCGTACGGATGACAGCTGCGAGTGACTTGTTTATTTTCTGGTGCTTTCACTCACAGAGACAGTTGCAAGCACTGTGTAGGTGCCTCGAGGGTGCTTGACCAGCTTATCATAACGTGGTGCGATCATCCCCTTTGCGCGGAGTGAGGGTTCCCTAACCCCGCACAACGTAGTCTACTCGACCACAATGCGGGTGTGGAATTCGATCCAGTTTGTGCGTATTGTATGAATTGTCTAACGATCAGTGTGCCTCCTAGATGCTTCTGTTGCCTGGAGGCAACCATATTGGTATCCGGAAGTGTCGTGTACTCGGGAACTCCAGTAGAGACGTTTTCTACGACGCTTGCCGCCTTTCCAAACGAATCCAGAAAATCAGTACGTCGTTTGGCCAACACGTGGACAGGTCAAAACTGACCGCTATGGGTTTTTCGTCACGAGTGAGCGGCGAAGGCTGGATGTTCCAATGGAGGTGAGGGTCGGCCGCGTGTTGTATGCATGTGAAGAGAGCTTTCCCGCGGCACTTCTGCCCTAGCGGGTTATACGGTGGGGACGTACCTCAGTACGAATCAGTCCTCTGGCGTATGGTAGTTTGGACGTTTGGGTTGAATGCCTCGAGGTACAAGCACATTGCCTTGTCGATGTTCAGCGCATGTCATTTGCCCGCAAAACCGGACGTGCGTGCTTTGGCATCCACATCGAGAGACGCTCACATGTAGCTCGAAAAGAGAACAAAACTCCGTAAGTGTTGTGAGCCGTCAAGATGGAAAAATGATCGAGCCAACCAAATCAAGCGAACCGGTCCTTGCTGACCGCGTCAATTGCATCACAGAAGGGGGTAGACATACATGGTACTACACGTGCCCGTGCGGGCGGCGACTGCCAGCAGAGAAACCTGATCCCTTGGCACTGTTTTGGCACAGAAATCTCATCCTTCCTGCGCTCGAACGTTGTGCTGCTGCTGTTGCTGCTGCTTCTGCTACAGAGATGTACGTCCGATGGCAGCACATCTTTACTAGTACCATGTCCGTCTTCACGAACGTTTCTGCCAGGATGTAGAGAAGACACACCCTGCGGGCATTGTGCCCAAACAGAGGAACCCTGGATCTGCTGTTCGTTGGGTTTTCATTGCATGTCTGAAGTTGTATTTCAAGCAAGCGAGACCGAACCAAATATCGATGCTTTGGTCCGTTTGCGTTTTTGGCCTCTTGTTATGTTTGGCTTTTCGATGACGATGTGCTGCATGCACACCCAACCTGTTTGTTGAGTTGACTGACACCAACAAGATGGCATATAAGGCTGGTGCAGTGCTTCGCGTGTGCGTACGGGCACTCTGAATATGTACTTCCTCTTCTTTATTCCGGCAGCGGTATCTGCGAGGCTGAACAATGAATACAGCCAGCTCGGTTGCCAATCGTCCAAGTAGACGAAAGAGGCCCCCTTTTCTCTTTTTGTAAACGCATCACATGCGTTCATCCTTCCAATGTGCGGTCGTGCTATGCACGTGGAGGTACCAACCATACATCCAGCTGGCATCGGGAAAGCCGGCGTGGCACGAGAACGTCTCACTCTTGCGCGTGGTCTGCTGTTGTGTCGCCCTTCTCACACACTTAAGTGAACACTACTTGGTTGTTTCTCGAGCTGAACTTGTTAGCGCTTACGCCAGGTCGGATAGAACCCCAACCAGCGCCAACCAACAGTACAAGAGTCCCACTGGGCGACTGAGGAGCTGTGTCCTACGGGTGTACTCATGCACTGTACGGGGCCGGTATACTGTGTCGTGGTTTGCGTCTAGGGTGTGCCAAGGTAGTGTTCCGCATGTCGTCTCAGTTCCGTCCGCCTCGGTCGCTTCTTCCCAGATTCTCAGGGTAAGGTGGTCGAAGGAGGGCAGGCGAGCGCAAAAGTGGCGAAAGATGATCGACAATTTTGACAGTTGGAGGATGGGAAAGAAGGCCACACGATTCCGAAACAGAGTGCGCAAGGGTGTGCCAGACTGCGTTCGGGGCAAAGTTTGGCAGATGCTGATGGGATCCACGGTGAGGATTGATGTGCATACGCACATGTTGTGGCACTCGGCATTGCGGTGGAACCTTTTTACTTATGGCGGCACGTGTCTAATATATTTCATTCTGTCGTACCTCCCTTCGGTTAACTATCGGTTGTGACGTTGATATTTTTCCAATGCGAAATCGCCATGCTGAACACGGAACAATCCGTGATTAAAGCACATCGGACCGCTTTTCTGTCTTGTGTTTACTTTCCACGCAAGGCTATGATGGAAAGGGAGCCGAACAAGTATGCAGACCTGGTGGCGAGTGATCTCCCGGTGGAAGGCCCCATCGAAGAAGACATACCTCGCACGATGTACGACCATGAGCTATTCTGCCGCAAGTCGCGAGTCAACGGGAGAGATATGCTGCGGAGAGTTTTGACGGCATATGGGCGTTATGATCGAGAGGTAATTGGAGTGGGCTCAGTGTGTTCATAGCCTGAGCTTTCGAGAACGAAAATACTGGCATATTCGTAATGTACAACAACGTACCTTTGGGCACAGAAATCTTACATTGGCGCTTTAACGACGAACCTCCTGCCTGTCCCCGAGAACGAAGAATGATACAACGTTCGCTGCCACGAAATAAAGTCATGCCGAAGCATGACTATTCCAATAATTGTCCACAGTTTTGACCACCTGCGGACACAACGGCAACGACCCGATAGGCGCACGAAACGTTGCACGCGATGAGCCAGTGAGTCCGCAGGTCGCTTTGATCGGCGCAGTTGCGCTCCTCGCATATTTGGCAGAAATGTGACTGCTCGGATAATGATCTATTTTTCATCCTTTGTGGCGTTCGTCGCATGCACTCATGCAACCCCCAGGTGCAATATTGCCAGGGCATCAACTACATAACGTCCTTATTTCTGCTCTATATGCCGGAGGAGAACGCATTCTGGATGCTGGTCGCTTCCATGAACCGCCCGTGCGCACCATTGAGGGAGCTGTTTCTTCCTGGGATGTTGAAGGTACTGTTAATTTTGTTACATTGCCGAAGCACAGGGTGTTTCGCAACGCGATGTGTAACACCCATAATAGGATACCCAGGTCGACGGATACGCCACGAGAACCAATCTTTGGCCGATTTCGACATCGACCGTTTAATTTCTCTCTGCAGCGCTCGCCGCCACAGATCCAATCTACTGACTTGCGGGTCGATAGCTTTTGCTTGTAAACACCCGCTTTGGACATTTTAGCGGATTGAGACTCGTGGTGGCGATCAAACAGTGATATGCATCCAAATTTGAGGGGTAACTTAACTGCACCCTGCGATGTGCCGCCCCCAGCAACAGACCTGAGCACGTTAACGCGCACGTCGCTACTGCATGATGTCTTCCATTCAACAGCTTTTCGGTTTGAGACTCCGAAAGCTTGGAGATGGATTGAGAATTTTCACAATTTAATGTGTTGCAGTCTAGAACCTATTTACCGCTGGTGTCTCCAATCCTTTTAGTGTGAGTTTACCCTTGATTGGCACAATTTTTGTTTTAACGGTTGAGGTCAACAAATATAATGATACAAGGCTTGCCTCCCGGGGACGACGAAAAAACAACACGGACAGCGTCATCATGGATTGTCGTTTCTCAACCCGCAACGTCGGTTATGATGGTTACCATCGAATTGCAAAGTATGGCGTCATGTGACGTGCGATGCGCGGACAGTTCTTTTTGCTCACTGTGGCTCTTCACTTGTGTGTTGCTGTTCCGGCGTTTTTCCCGCAGACCCTCCTGCTGTAACCTGCTGCTTTTGGCCTCTCTCTCCCCATGTGTTTTTATCCTCGTTGCTCATGATGTGTGCACGAATGTATTGTGTAGAAATTCAAAGTATTCCTGTTTACGTACAGGCATGTATCAAGCAATAGCGAAGTAGTGTTCGTTGATATTTCTTTGTTTTTGAATCATTTGACGTTTATTATCCCGCTACCTCACGCAACTGTTCTTGCACGTGCTCTGGAGAAGGCCCAAGAATTCCAGTTTGTGATGGACTCGCTCACGAAGAAGCACTGCGAGAAGCTCTCAAACCAGATCCTGGCACATAACCTTACTCCTGCCATGTACGCGACCCAGTGGTTCCTGACCGCATTCACCCAGCGTTTCCCGTACGACTTGGTGACCCGCGTGTGGGACATGTTCCTCCTGGAGGACTGGAAGGTGTTCTACAGAGTGTGTCTGGCGTTATTCAAGTAAGTCCTTTGCCATTTGTATTCCTCCCAACTTATGTAAAGACTTTGCCGTTGTATTCAATGCTGCGGATTTCGTCTCTTCCATGCTTATCTTGAAGGTTGATCACCACATCCCAAAGTAATCATTTCGGGGCATTCCACCCTGTAGTACGGTGGGATGCTCGACCCGCGAACATTTAGTTGTGCTTTGGAATGGCGCGATGATCTGTTGTGCTACAGAATGGGATGGCGGTGCGGTTGTGGCTTTTGTATCGGTCACATGGTGTGCCGCATCACATTCTGTGCAGCCCGGGTTGAATTCTCCGGAACATGTTTTCAGCAATGGGACGGCGCCAACTGCTCTCGGAATGACACCGTTTATAGATGGTTATTTAGGACAGGAGCGTCGAGGTGGTCGTTGAACAAGGAAAGTGGATTGGCTTACGGTGGCGCAGAGAGGGCCTTGTCACAAAATGAAGCTCATCATTCAGCTCCCTGAAGCTCGTAGGTGTTTCGTCTGTCTTTCGGCGGTGGGCTGAGCTAGATTGTCATTGGTGTCCGTGCCCACGCTTCGAACCCCAAGAACCTCAACAACGTAGCCGTGACGTTGATATTGACCGTGAATATTACGATACTGCCGGTCAGGATCGGAACTCACCGCCTTCTCTGGTAGTTTCTCAGAGAACCCTACGTTGTGAGACGTTTCGACAGACAGGCATACAGAACGGAGCTCGAAACCACACAAAACTTTGAGCTGAACCTCAGCGGAGTTACATTGTAAATGGATTTCCCGTGGCCGGAGTGTTCTTGCTGTGCAAGCCCTCAGCAAGTTCGAACCGCAGGGTCGGTTGCATTATGCAACCGTGCGGGTGTTCTCGGACCCAAAAGTCACTTGCATGTGACTGCTTCGTGGCGCGCACGCGCTGACTCCTTGTTCGGTTAGGCCTTGTGGTCGTCTGTTACCCGTCTGTTTCATTTCTTTTGTTCTCGCGGTATGCGCGCAGGAGATGTTGGGCAGAAAGACGATGTTATACACGCACCATGTTGTCGCCCGCTCTCTCTGGTTTGGTTGATTGCGTCTATGAAGCTGCGGCAGCCAAGCGACAATGTACTTGCCACTCACTTCAAATTGAAGCCCAACTCAATCTACACACGCTTCGCCTCGACGCTGGAATGACTGTGTGTCAACTCAATATTCACATATTCACTGCCAACGAGAGGTTCGGGGCACACCGCTGCCACCTGGGGGCTGAGACTTGTCAATCCCCCGCGTTTCGTCGACCTACGGCGCACGTGTCGCGATGTCTTGAGTATGCCCCTCTAGGGTATCGCTCGTCATGGGCCCTCGCCGAGTTGCATCACCCTCCGCGTGCAGTAGCACACGCCACAAGTGTGCGACCATGTGCGACCATGCCTTTATCACCACTTCGCACACTTGAGGTCTATTTACGTGACTATTTGGGTGTAACCAGACGATAAACCTAGGTTCCCCACTTGGGATGTGTCACACACCGTGGCCGACCCAACCCAACCCAACCCAACCCCAACCCTTACCCTACCGCTAACCCCTACCATCACCAACGGCCAATGGGGCTTATCGGCCGCGAACTCGGGCTACAACGGCCGCGCCGTGTTGTTGGAATGCGGAATGGGGAGAGGGTGCTGGAGAGGATTAGGACGCCCGTGCCACCGCTCGACCAATCAGAGGGCGTAAATACCCGTAGACAGGAAGACGCAATAACAGACCATAACAACAACTCTGTTTGTTGGTATTTTGCTTACCAAATCACACCAAATTCATCTCTTTCACAGACAAGAGTTGCATTATTGCTCCTTTGTCTTCTCGAACATTTTCACATGTTGCAACTACGAATCTCAAGGTGCGCTTGGCAGCAATCAATGGCAAAATGTTCATTGAGGTGGTGGCGTAGTTGTTGAAATTGTGGCCGAGTGAGGTACGAACACGACTTAGTGTCATTGCCTCGTGATACGACGAAAGAAAGCGCATATTGGTTGTGTGCCTGCCGATGCGCGACCGTGCGGCATGCGCCAGAGGTATACAGCCTTGCGCGCGGTTTAGCTCCTCTTTACCGATTCGCCGTCTTCCTATTCTGATCTGGAGTCTCGGACCACTTGGGGGAAAATCGAATGTGATACTCGTAGATTTTTTCGACACACCGTTCGCTTAGCGGCAATCAGCATCATCTTCATTCAAGTGTGGTTCGGTACATGTGTGAGGGTGCCGAAGAGTTTCAACTGGACATTGTGCCAATACGCCTTGATGCGACGAAAGCGCATACGGTGAGTTGACGAGCAAGCACCGTGCGTGCGCCAGGAGTGTACGACCGGGCGCGCTGTTTTCGGTCCTCTTGACCGGTTCGTATTACATCTTGCTGTCTTGATCGCTCTTTTTTGGCTTCTAGAACAATGTCAGAAAAAATCAAAGTGTCAGGGTCGGCTTGGCAGTAACCAAAACCATCATGTTCGTTTCAGCGGCAAATTAGTGATGAAAATGTGTATGTGCCAGCATGTCATGATACGACGAAAGAAAGGGTCAAACTTTGGGCCGACGCGCCGCCATGCTGCATGCGCTAGACGTTTGCGACCATGTGCGACCATGCGCGCTGTTTCCCTCCCCTTCACCGGTTCGCCGTCTTCCAGTCTTCATCGCTAATTCTTTTGGTCATCTTTCCCAATATGTTATACAAGTATAACAATCGAATCTCATCTATGGATTCAGATGGATTCATTCGTTGTGGTAGTCTGTACAGAAACCAACGGCATCATCCATCAGCAACAAAATATGTTAATCCTCTTTGTTCGGTATTTCTTTTAGCCTTTTGGGGTATTTTACTTTTGAGCACGAGTGTATTTTTTTGCGATGACCTTCGGGTACTTAGCCTGCGGCCACGGTTAGAAGGTAATATGACTGGCTGAGTGAGCAGCGACCGGGATGCCTCGTATATATGTTGTGACCAAAACAACGAACAGTGACCTGCGAATCCTCTGCTTCTCCACCTCCTCGTTCCCTTCCAGATATAGGAGTGCGCGGTAGTGTAGTGTGGTGACCAACTTCTATTTCTACGGCTGCTCCCCGAGCAGCTGTTTCTGCTTTTGCTTTCACCCTCCGTCGGGTCGCGATTTGTCAACGCAGTTAACTCAGCAATCGCCTAATCAACCCGCTCAAACAGCAAATGAGCTTAGACAGGCAATGCCGACGATATTCGTCGCGGTGATTTATCACGATGAACAGTACACGAGCAAAGGTTTTAAGTACGATGACACGAGTCAGCCATGCTGACTCAGCGAATTTATGCGGAGGTTGGCATCCCCAAAAGGGATTTGCTCTCGCTACACAAACTCTCAAGCGGCGCGACCTGATGTGAGCCCGATATTCTTCTTTCGTAGGTAATGCCGCAAGGCTTGCAAGAGTAAAAATGATCAGGATTATGGAAGCATATGCCACGTGATCTGGTTTATCCGGCTTGTTGTCGTTGATTGCGGGAGCCCTGGTGGAAATGGGCATGTGTGCTCATTCTCTCCTTCTGTCGTTTGATGGCTTTCGGTATTATTGGTGGGCGATGCATTGTCATCACGGAATGTGTCCCCGCGAAATAGAGACAGTTTTCGTTACTTCAGGCGACTATTACACACGTGCCACAGACGCCTGTCGAGTGCCAGGCTTTGGCGGTGACGTACCGACGAGCCTCCTGCGTGCCCCTGAGAAGAAAACGCGATGAAGGGATTCGCTGCCGCCAGAGAAAGATCTTCCCAAGCACGAAGAAAGCAAAGCTTACATGTAAATGCGTGAAGATTACCTCAGCAATTGGCGGCAGGGGTATCTCGGTTGGTGAAAAACGACAGTCACACCAAAGATTCTCCTTCCAAAATGGGATGCCCATAACCACGGAAAGGATGCCACCCAACTTACCTCTTCCATCCCCCTTTTCGCGTGGCCCTGTGCCGTTTTAACTCGAGGGTGCTGGCCTGTTCGTGTGCCGTCGTGACTGCAAGCTCTCGGCGGCGTTTTGTGCAGATAACTTGTTTCGGCGAATGGTGCACTGTACTGTTTTGCCACCCGGCCCATCAGTCTTCAACCTTCTGTCCACATACGTATATGTATTTCTTCGAGCCGTACCCTTGTGTCAGACTCCGGTCCGTTAGTAGAGTGTGCACAGAAATAACAATGAGCAAAGCATGATGATGTGTTTCCACAGTCGCACGGTGGTCTAGTTTGTTTCTTCGAAACCTCTTAAGAGGTCAGGTCAGGGGTTCGAATTCCGGCGTAAGCGAACTTTACTTGCAAAGTTAGCTTTTCGCTTGCTTCCGCTCCTGGCCTAGTGGATAGCGCTAGTTCGTGTGTACACAGAGGGAAGAGAGTGCTGAACTCGAAGGCAACGTACCGCAGGAGGGGAGGGTAGAGAGGGGCCCTTCTGTGTGACCATGGGTTGGAGAAACGGCACTAGTGCTGTGAGCGCTGATACAAGGTGAAGACAAAAAAAGGAAAAAATGAACAGTGACTTGGATCTGTTCGCAGAGCCTTCGTTGCTTGCTTTGTCTGAGTTACGTCTTTTATGAAGCCAGAGAGCAACATAAAGCATACCCGACACAAAGAAATGGTCATCGTTCACCTCCCAAGTTGCCCTGCCAACAAAAAATTGAGCTTGAATTCAGGTCGGTGCTACTCTCGGGCGATGATCATAACCACACAAGAGCTTCAAGTGTCACACACATACACAAAACGATTTTCCTCGCGCACGCAACTATGGCAGCCACCCATTAGATCTATGAAAGGGATCATTTGCGAAGGAATGGTAACACCCTCCGGCGGTGGACGAGGTTCTTCGGCAACGAGACAGAATTCAGTCTTGCCGAGTTTCATTCAACATCCATCGTCGAGCGACACCATAACCGCCGTCGCCCAAACCGATGTCATACGACGGAGAGTCGACATTACTCGTGGCAGGATCAACGCCGGCGGAGACGCGATCGGCAATTCGGGCCGCCCTCCAGAAGTACCCAAGCTATGCAACACCGTTAGCGAGCCCTTTGGTTATTCGACACTTCCATGCCGTTGTGGGTCACATTGCCAAATGGCAGAAAATTGCTCCGGAATGGCAATAGACGATGATCAAGATGTCCCACGAAGCTGGTGCTGACCCGACTGCACCAACTTCGTGTGAAATCCTCGTTTCCCACGAAATCAAATCTCTGCCCCAAGATCATTGCCAATCACGTGAGCGAACAATGCGGAGCGTACCAGATGCCCTCTCACTCTGCGAGGTCCACCACGTTGTACATGATTGACCTACAGAGGAAGTTCCGCTGCTATACAGAGTGGCTTCGTATTTCCTCCAGAAGGCTTACCACTCGGTGGACCTGTTCTGGAAGGCGATGGGTTCATCGTCCACCGTAGTGTCCGCGGCACTGTTCAACTGTGGCCTTGCGCTGAACCTCACAAGAAAGCCTGAAGCCACAGTGTACACGTACTCGTTCGCCATGTGGCTCCTAGGTGTGTGGGGCAACGGCCAGACAACTCCCGAAGCGAACGGTGTTGGAGAAGAACTCGGAGGGGAGGCCGAATCCGGACCCCTACCATCCAGCAAAGCACGGTGTTTGCATGCTGGAGACATTTTTTGACATTGAGAATTCTCCACAGCTCCACGTCGACCAGCGGGAATTCAGAGTTGATGGACTCGTCGGGACCGCTGCGACGAGCACGGCAGACGGAATGTGATTTGCATAGCTGTTTAATCGGAAACAGAGGTAGATCGGGTCGTGGCATGTCTTCGTCTCACCGTTTCGCGGTTCGCACGACGTCCGCCGAAAACGTTGTGCCACTTCACACTCTGAAGCAGTACAGTATATGTATTTCATACTACACGTGAAAGAAGGCAGTTGTCGTCCAACTGCTCTCCCGGAGGCCATACAACCTTTCCTTGGGCAGCAACTCCCGATCTCCAATCCATCCCAATCGTGGTGGGGCTTATTTCTTGGGCAATGCTGATGATACATGTGATCACAACGGCCCAGTTGATCGTGAGCCATGAAATTAGACAAAGAACCAACTGGTGTTTGACGCACGAAACGTCCCCTCGACCGTGGCGCCCCTTTCGAAGTAGCGTTGCAAGAGTTCGACACATCGTCCAACTTATTCCACAACTGTCGTCAGCCTAGTTCCACGATTTTCGCTTAAGCATTGCAGCACGTGCTTGCACCACGGTCATGAATGCCTCTCTCTCCCGTCAACCGTCGGAGTACTTGTAATCTTGGATGACCTGCTTATGAATCAGCGTTTGTCGTTTTTGTGGGCCACTGCCCGTTTCATAGGGGAGTGTGGATTGAGTATGTTAAATACTCTATGGCGAAACGCAAAGAACTCGCTGCAACGAATGCGGTGACATGGCATTGCACCCACCGCATCTCAGACTTGTCTTTTCGAGCCCTTTGCCTTGTATTTGATTAGAGCTGGGTTTTGCTGTCGAGGTCCAGTGCGATGCCACCGGTACGTGAGGAACCGCGAAAGTTGTCCTCCCTATGAAAGCTGAGACTGCCAGCATGAACTGAGTGCGTAACTTATATTGCTCCGGCGGAGGCATCTCGATAACCCCAACAATACAGGCGAAATGGACCGTCCGACGGGAAACAAGACACTGCCAAAAGCGAAGATCTTCAATATTGTCCGACAATGCTTTCCTTTGTTCTAGTTGTGGGAGTTCCCAGTATTCCTCGAAAATCTTGATTGAGATTGTGCATCACCGATCTTGCGCTGGTGCTTGACGAAGGTCTGTTGAAGGCAAAGCAGCTGCACTCGACCTCGAGAACCTGAACTTGCTACTTCGCAACATGCCCCCGAATGTGGACGCCCAGCAGGTGAGGCGTCCATGACAAAGCTGGAGGGCGAAGGGAACGTTTCACGCTTTTTCGTTTTATTCGAGTGTTCACACAAGCTAGCGATCCAACCACCTTGCTGTCCTGTCAGCGGGGATTGTCATAAGTATTACCTGGGAACCACATAGCGAGCCCCCAACATCGTTTGTGAAGGCGTGCATTCGATTCGAGAGTTTTTGCCCCGTTGCAAGAGGAGACCAGAACACTTTTTGTCACATATAGATTAATGCTATGTATGCAACGAGTCACCCGTTGCTTTCATTTTAGGTGGCCATAGACATGCACACGTTTGCAAGATGTGTATGGATGGGTGCCCGAAAATTGCCTTTTACTTACATCGTCTGAAGCACTTCGTAACTACGACTGTAACCGGAGCTGTGTGCGTTTTGTCTGAACGTGTCTTGCCTCCTCTGTAAAGATCCTTGATATCGCGGCCAGTATTCCATTGAAGCATCGGCACATCGCGAAGCGCGTTGCTCTCTTCAGCGACTTCAATGCGCGAAAAAACACACCTGCTCGAGGAACGGACGGAGCTTGGCAAAAGTAGCGCAGCTTGCGCGCTGGTGGGGAAGCACGCGCAGTCTCGCGCACGAGATGTGTTTCCTTGGTTTGCGTGCGCGATGATTGTTGGCATGGTTGGCCGGGTTTTTCCTCGGTCGCAATGCTTGAGGCAACGACAGCCACGTAAGACACTCGAGCCAACGTATGTCGTCTGTGGATCTAGCATCCACGTTGTGTCCGCCGCTCGAACCGATGTTTGAAAAGATAATAAAAATGTTTCAGCAATTGAAACGTTCCACGGGGCGTGTTTTCATTGCGGAGGTACAACAGAGAGCGGTTCCACTCCTTGGTATGTTCGAGACAAAAAACGCGTTTGTGCGGTCTCATAAATGAACAAGTGTGAGATATGTGACGCAGTGGTCGGTGCAACTCCATCGCAAACTCGGCAGTCACTCCAGTGGTTCTGTTTGACGGAGCCATGGCTTTGCGCAAGGTGACGAGCACAATTTTTGTGGCCGTCATACGCACACGTTCAAGTTGCGGGGGGATGTGGAGGCCAGCGGTTTCGATGCCGATTCTGACGGACCGAGTGTAGTAGCGTCATCAAAAAGGCGGTCGCTTGTCGTTCTGAAGCTTTCCGTGTTGCTTCTGAAACTGTATGCGATTTTGACTCCCAGGTTCTTGACCCCGATTAGGCTGCATTCGCTTCAAGTCACTTGGTTTTAGGGTTGGCGATCTCCGCGTTCTTGTCTAGAACCGAGCGAGATGGTTTTCTTTGGACGATGTTCTAGGTGGCAACGACAGATTTTCGAGGGAGGCACACCTCCCGCAAGTTTGGCACAGAACCTTCTGGCAGTTTTTGAGAAAGCGCGTTCTTCAATGCCACACTGAGCCGAAACACGAACAAAATGGTCGAGTTGACCGGACATTCCCCCCACGGGTCATGAACTGCATGCTTACTTGCCGCAAACACACTCCACGACGGTTGTTCAGTCGAGTGTGCCTCAAGGACGCGGAAACTGTACAGCTCCCGATAACCAATGTGACAAGGGCCAGCAGTGTATCTGGTCAGGGATGGGCTTTTAGGTAAGGTAGTTGCCACGGTTGCGACAGGGTGAACATAGAACGAACCGCACGCCCAGGTCATCAGCAGGAGGATTGAGAGACGCGAAACACTTTGCAATTCAAAATGCGTCAAGGATGCGCAAACTTTATGCAATCAGCTCCAGAGAACAAGTGTGACAAGTTCCGCAAGTGCATCTCGTGAGGGACGGGCTGAGAATTCAACGTGCATGCTTCTGTTACTGCTGTAGTTGCCCCGACAAATATTACAAGACTGTAGCGCAAAGCGGCCACTTCAGCAGGATGCGTGTTGTGATTTTCTGAAGCCTATTTGCTTCAGCTTTCTGTTGCGAAAATTCTTAGACCTTTAGACGGTTCGATTTCTGACTCCACAACAAAGTGACCCTACTCCCTTTTATCTCTTGGTTTTAATCCAGGTGTTCTCCGGTTCTTCTCTGAAGCAAGTTGTTTTTCTTCGGGCGAGCAGCGTAGCGGCGACCGCGAAGCGCCGTTGTATATGTATGTATGTATGCCTAGAAAGATCCCGGCCAAATGCGGCCCGCACCTCAATTTCATGCGGCCCATACACTCCACACGGAAACGCGGCCCACATGTATATATATATATATTTTTTTCCCATCATTGGACACTGTCGTCTGCCCCTCTGGCCCCTATCCTCCACTTCTACCAGCTAGACCACCCGACCGGGGTCACATAGGAGGGGGGGGTTGGACCCCCTCCTGCGGTTCCTGCCTGAGATATTTTTATCGCGAGAAGGGTACAGCAATCCTTTCCCTCGCGACTTATGAAGTCGATTAAGTTTACTAACAACGGGCTTTGTTGCGCGTCGCTTCCAACGGAGACCAGGATTTTATTAGCGAGAAAAAACTCACTCTGTCGGGACTCGAACCCATGACCTGGCCCTTCGCAGATTGCGAGGCTACCCACTAGACCACCGGGGCGACCGGTGTATGTATGCCTAGAAAGTTCCAAATTGCGGGCCGCAGGAAGAAAGTGGTCCGAATAAATTACGTCGTTGTGTAGCGAGACAAGCATGCACATATTTACAGAACGGGCCCGGAATTAAGAAAACTAGGGGATTGAAGGGCCCCGCTGCCCCCAGTGGGCGCCGGGGCCCGAGTCGCAAACCGAAGGTTGTTCTGAAGCCTGATAGGGATTCAGTTTCTGTCGCCGATTTTATTCGAAAACGACCCCATTTTACTGTGACTCCGCTCTTTTTTTTCGTGACCCCACCATAAAGTGACCCCACTTTCTGCATTTCACTTGGTTTTAGAGTAGGCGATGTCCGGTTTTTTCTCTAAAAGCAAGTTGTTTTTCTTCGGCCTATGTTTCTCGAGATTGCAACGGCAGATTTTTGTGTGGGTTGGAAGAGGTGTCTTTCCTGGCCCGTTCGGCCCCTCCTGCGAGTTTCGTGCTAACGCTTGTGCAGCTTGTGAGAACGCGTTCATTGTTGCATGTCTCATTCGTAGATCTCCCCCGTGCTCGAACAACCGAACCAGCCATCCCTCGTCATTACCCCTGGTTTTGCCCGCACTGGTCGCAAGTACGGCCGCACCGACGAAGGGAAGGATGCACGTCCGCGGATGGTACAGAATCATGCATGAAAGTCTAGGACTTAGGACACAGCCCTGTTAAGAATGAGTGAAACATGCCTCAAACTTTCACCGATCACCACTGAGGAAGGCAAGGCAAAAGGCAGTGCTCGAAGGCAGAGCACACTCACCAGCACTGGGGCATGTAGCCTCATTCATGAGGATGTTGTGTGTACAAATCTTGTTTTTCGCCAGACTGTGCACCACAGCAATTTCATTAGTCTGTAGACCACTCACCGCATTCAGAAGCCCAGTCAGCATTGTCTAATGTCCCTTCCAGACTGATTGTTGTGCTCATTGTGGACGACAGTCGGCATCATCAGTAGTCAGCATATTCTATTGTCTCTTCCACGCTGATTGTGCTCATAACCCCTTATTATTTTGCTCGAGCTGTCCCAACCGCTACCTTTGCAATCCGTGGTCGGTGTCTCGAGATAGCACACCGTTTGTGCAAATATATATGTCACATGGACGCATCCCCGGGAGGCGTTACTTTTGTTTCTGTTTGGCCAACAAACTACACGCACGCAAGAAACCACGACGCACTGCCGTGCTGCACACACTGCTGCTGCTGGCAAGACACGCACTACACAGAGACAGGGAACATGGACAAGGGGGGCGGGACACACACACATACTGCTGTTAGCGACGGCGGAGGAAGCGGGGAACGTTTGGTTGGTCTGGGGTTCATCGCTGATGATGTTGTTGTTGTTGTTTCCGTTGTGGTTGTTGTTGTTCAACGCTGCCGGCCTTTTTTTCGCCTTTTTTTCTCTGGAGAGAGAGGGAGTCCCACCAACCAGCGTGTGTTGCACACACCACACAGCGAGAGCGGGACGGGAGCAGGGTGTGCCCTATACTACTGCTGCTGCTAGCTTTCGGCGGAGGAAGCGAGAGGAGAGATATTGATTGGGTCTCTGTGGGTCCATCGGTTGTTGTTAATTGTGTTGCGACGCGGCGGGAGGGAGCGACCTCTGA